AAAGAAAAAGTTTATGTGGATCACAGGATGAGCTAGGACCAGGAACAAGAAATATGACTAGATTGGATTCTTTCTTTAATACTTCTCTCAGTTTTTTAGAATGAATATGGTACTTTTGGTATGCAAAGGGAAGCTTTGGCAAAGTGATGCAATAGATAGCTTCATTTTTCGTAGCTTGTGATTCAAGTTGGAAAATCCCCACACTGCCCTATGTGTTAAGCATGGGTGAAGTCATTCCATTTCTTTGAATCTCAGTTTCCTTATCTATAAAGTGAAAAGTTTTTACCAGAATATTCTTTAGCTCCCTTCCTACTCTAAAATCCTACGATCTTAGTGTACTATCTAGGACCAAAGTGCATAAATAATGGATTTGAATGGGTGGGTTTGGGAGATCAAATAGAGGAGAATTCTATGGGAAGAGGGCCCTAATAATAGTTTAAGTGCAAACTCAGTGTTGAGTTACTGTTTAGCACTGGTGTCAGGTAAAAGTCTTTGGAGATACATAAACAGGGGATGGAGGAGATTTCTGTCCCAACCATATTATTTTTATGTTGTTTGGGATCTTTGTGTTTATGAGCACTTCCCTCTCTCCCTCTTTCCCCCTCTCTTCTCTATCTTTGTTTCACTGTGCACATACATACACCATGTGCATGAAGTGGGGGAAGTAGCCCCCTCTGACAGTGATTTAATCTGGTTCATCTATCTTATTAACTAAGATCTTTTCCTATACGGCTTTCACCCTGGCCTTGGGAAGAGAGCCAGAGGGAAAACCCACACATTTGAATGCTCTAATAAGTAAGTCATTCCTTTCTGGGTCTATTTCCTTATTCACAAGGTGAAAAGTTTGGTCTATATGATCTCTGTACTGCATAGCTCTTAACGTGTTGTGGTTCTGAGTACAGCACAGACCTTTGTTTTCATTTTCATTCTCCTTTCCTGTTTGTCCTGTTTACTTCTGCTTTCCCAGTGCCTTTCTCCTGGGGTCATTTTATCCCTTGATTCCCTCAGATCCCTCTTGCTTTTTTAGCTTCTCTGAGTTATCTTTGTTTGTTTGTTTGTTTTGCAGACCCTCAGATTATAGCCCTGGTCTCTAGTTCTCTGTGTCTCCCTACACCCATCTGCATCCTGGCTGCTAGCTTCATCTCTCTCCTTGGGTTCCTCCAAGGGCCCCCTTGGGATCCCCTATCATTCATCCCTCTTACAGAAGCACACCTTTCTCCAAAGTCAAAGGATCAGGTATTCAGTGTCTCAGGTGACAAACCTGCTGTCAGGTTACAGATATTATCTCCTGAAAGACCACATTACAGTGTCAGTGGAGACTAGAGCTGCCTGTCTTGCCCTGCCCTCGCCTGGCTATCCCACACAAGGTGAGAATAAGCAGAAGGCATCTCTGCTACCAGTGCTCACCTAGAAACATGGCTCTGAGCCTCTGGCCCCTGCTGCTGCTGCTGCTGCTGCTGCTATCTTGTACAGGTGAGAGGAACAGTGAGCAAGACTGGGGATGGAAGGGATCATTACTAGAGAGAGACTTAAGAATGTGAAGCTTATTAGGTAAGTACAAGATAAAGTAACTGGGAAGAGGGGCTGAAGCTGGAGCTAAGAGAAAATGAGCAATAAAAAAGCAGGTCAAGATTCATTAGAAAGGGATTCAGCTTATCTCCTTCACCTCATCTGTAGGCTCAGGCAGGGGTTTGGGCTCAGGGGCAGGACTGAAGTGCCTAAAATTTTAGGCACTTTACCTTTAGTGATCTCCAGTTTCTCTCCTTACAGTGATGCTGGCCCCTACTGGGCCTCAGTCCTTGGACCCTGGTCTCTCCTCTCTGAAGTCATTACTCTCCACTCTGCACCAGGTTCCCCAGGGCTCACTCAGCCATTCACGGTTCTCTGCATTCCTGGTCAACATTTCTTCTTCCTTTGAGCCTGGGAGAATGGGGGAGGAACCAGTGGGAGAGCCCCCACCTCTCCAGCCCCCTGCCCTCCGACTTCATGATTTCCTAGTAACACTGAGAGGCAGCCCAGACTGGGAGCCAATGCTAGGTCTGCTAGGGGATGTGTTGGCCCTGCTGGGACAGGAGCAGACTCCCAGGGACTTCCTAGGGCACCAGGCAGGTGTGCTGGGTGGACTCGCAGAGGTGCTTCTGGGAGCCTTAGTTCCAGGGGGACCTCCTACCCCTACCCGGCCCCCCTGCTCCCGAGATGGGCCCCCTGATTGCATCTTGGTGGCTGACTGGCTGCCTTCTCTGCTTCTGTTATTAGAGGGCACTCGCTGGCAGGCCCTTGTACAGGTGCAGCCCAGTTTGGACCTCACCAATGTCACAGACTTTGAAGGCAGGGAGCCAGCTCCCCACCTTTTGCAGGGTCTGTTGGGCTTGCTCACACCAACAGGGGAGCTGAGCTCTGAAGAGGCTCTGTGGGGAGGTCTGCTGCGCACAGTGGGGGCCCCGCTTTATGCTGCCTTCCAGGAGGGGCTGCTCCGAGTCACTCATTCCCTTCAGGATGAGGTCTTTTCCATCCTGGGACAACCAGAGCCTGATGCTAATGGGCAGTGCCAGGGAGGTGAGTGCTTCTGGGCAGTGGTTGGGCTGTGGAAGGGCCAAAAGTAGCGGCGTAGCAATAGTCTTCCTACTCTTTCTCTCCTAGGAAACCTTCAGCAGCTGCTCTTATGGTAAGTAAAAAGGAGAGCAGTTTTGAGGGGCCTGGGAAGTTGGCCTGTAGAGCGAAATAGGAAATGGATGGGAGGAGTGTGGTTTTGTGGTTTGGTATAACTGTCGGGATTGGTGTCCCTGCTCTACCTCTTCTTAGCCATCTTGCTTTGGGCAGATTGTAGTCTCACACCATGCCTCAGTTTCCCCACTTATACAGTATGGACAATATTAGCTACTGTAGCAATGTTGTGTGGGAGTAGATGAATTGATACTCTATGCACCACCACTTAGATTTGTGCTTAATGAATGCTGGCTAGGAAAGATACGTTGTGGAAGGAAAAGGCAAGACTATTCCTTCATCCCTTCCAATTTCAGTCGTCAGTGCCAGGGCACATATTCAGCTACTGGATAGATTTCCTGATATGAGACCGACTGAAAGTTGTGTTTAAGTACCTAAAATCTTGAAGAAAGGAGAAGGGAGGGGATCAAGTGGATGGAAGGGGCCCTACCTGGGCTGCTCCCAGGTGATTTTTGTGCCCAGGCAGGACAGATTTGTCTTCCCTTTCCCCTATCCCAGCAGTTAATCCACCTATACTCGTAGGATCCTAACTTTAGGAAAAGCTTGTTCTATGCTTGTCACCTCTTCTGTAGAGATCTGGGCCAGGGTCAGAATCATCAACTGAAGAAAATATAAACTGACCAGATCCTGCCTGCTCCTCCCTCTGCACCCAGGGGTGTCCGGCACAACCTTTCCTGGGATGTCCATGCGCTGGGCTTTCTGTCTGGATCGCCACCCCCACCTCCTGCCCTTCTCCACTGCCTGAGCATGGGTGTGCCTCTGCCCAGGGCTTCCCAGTCCTCAGCTCACATCAGCCCTCGCCAACGGCGAGCCATCTCTGTGGAGGCCCTCTGCGAGAATCACTCAGGCCCAGCACCACCCTACAGCATTTCCAACTTCTCCATCCACTTGCTCTGCCAGCTCACCAAGCCTGCCACCCCACAGCCCCCTCCCAGCACCGGTGCCGTCTGTCAGACAGCTGTGTGGTACGCTATGTCATGGGCACCAGGTGCCCAAAGCTGGCTAAAAGCTTGCCATGACCAGTTTCCTGATCAGTTCCTGGAAGCCATTTGTAGCAACCTCTCCTTTGCAGCACTGTCTGGCCCCAACCGCCGCCTGGTAAAGCGGCTCTGTGCTGGCCTGCTTCCACCTCCAACCAACTGCCCTGAAGGTTTGCCCCCTGTTCCCCTCACCCCAGAGATCTTCTGGGGCTGCTTCTTGGAGAATGCGACTCTGTGGACTGAGCGGCTGTGTGGGGAGGCGAGTCTGCAGGCCGTCCCCCCTCGCAATCAGGCCTGGGTTCAGCATGTGTGCCAGGGCCCCACCCCAGATGTCACTGCCTCCCCACCCTGCCACCTTGGACCCTGTGGGGAGCGCTGCCCAGATGGGGGCAGCTTCCTGATGATGGTCTGTGCCAATGATACCATGTATGAGGCCCTGGTGCCCTTCTGGCCTTGGCTGGCAGGCCAGTGCAGGATAAGTCGTGGGGGCAATGACACTTGCTTCCTAGAGGGGTTACTGGGCCCTCTTTTGCCCTCTTTGCCACCACTGGGACCGTCCCCACTCTGCCTGGCCCCGGGTCCCTTCCTGCTTGGCTTGCTGTCCCAATTGCCACGCTGTCAGTCTGCTGTGCCAGCTCTTGCCCACCCCACACGCCTACACTATCTCTTACGCCTGCTGACTTTCCTCCTGGGACCAGGGGCTGGAGGGACTGAGGCCCAAGGGATGCTGGGGCAGGCCCTGCTACTATCCAGCCTCCCGGACAACTGCTCCTTCTGGGATGCCTTCCGCCCAGAGGGCCGTCGCAGCGTGCTGCGGACAGTCGGGGAGTACCTGGAACAGGAGGAGCTGCCGAACCCATTGGACTTTGAGTCCTCTACCAGCCACAGTTCTGGTATAAGCAAGATGGAATTGCTGGCCTGCTTCAGTGTGAGTGATCTGCCAAGGAAAAAGTTTGTTAAACAGAAGGAAGCACCGCCAGGGGATTTCTATAAAACTGAGAGACAGAGTGTCTAGTGCAATGGTTTCAAGTATATAACCCTGGAGCCAGACAGGCTTGGGCTCACACTGTGGTTTTGTGGTCAGTCTTGGACAAGTTATTTAACTTCTCTGAGCAATAGTATTTGCATCTATAACTGGGGGAGAATAAATAGTGATACTCTTAGGGTGGCTATAAGGATCACATGAAATAATATATGCTATGGGCGAAGCTCATGTGTGATATATGAACACAGAATAAATGTTATCTCATTATTTGCTCTGACTCTTTGAGTCTACCCATCTCTGCTCCAGAAAGGAAAGAGATCAAATTGGAGGGCTGGTATTCTGTCTCTAGAGAGTGAGAACTGGAAAGGAAGGCAGAAATGAGAAAAATTTAATGTAACAACAAATCAGAAGACTTGAGGACTAGGCTCAACTATGCCACAGATTAGTGTGGGCTCAGACAAGTAATTTAACTCTTCTCTGTAGAAGGAAGGGTCTAGAATGCCAATAGCGTAATTCATTGAGAGCCTGTTATATGTAAGGTACTTTGCAAGGTTCTATAGGGTATGTAAACATTCCTTACTCCATGTTAGGGCCCACTATTCTCAAGCCCTGGGACCAGTGAAATGGGATTAGACAGTCAGAGTGATTTGCTTCAGATCTGTAAGTACTTACTGAAACAATAAGTAAAGAAGTTAGAGGTATGGTCCCTGACCTTACTGTCTAAGGAGATGCACATACTAGCTTAAGGAGCATCGTAGTGAATGATGTTGGATTGCCTGGGGAAACTGCAAGAGGGTCAGAGGAGATCCCTTTCTCGGTCTCTTACTTGTCTCTCCATCAGCCTGTGCTGTGGGACCTGCTCCAGAGGGAGAAGAGTGTTTGGGCCCTGCAGATTCTAATGCAGGTAACAGTTGGGGGGAGACGCAAGTGTGGATTGGGTGTAGCCATGAACTGAGCTCCCTGCCTTGTGAGGCAATACCACCATGACATGACTTCCTATTCCCAGGCATACTTACACATGCCCCCCGAGAATCTCCAGCAGCTGGTGCTTTCAGCAGAGAGGGAGGCTGCTCAGGGCTTCTTGACGCTCATGCACCGTTCCTGGGCCCAGTTGCAGGTGGGCATAGGAGAGGAAGCAAGGGGGATGGGAGAAATCTAGGATTCCAGAGTGCCTGGAACCTCATGTGCAGAAGATTTGTCCTTTAGAAGAAGGAACTCGAGAGGCAACGGCTTGTATACTGAGTATTTCCTGAACCTGCATCTATTCCTGTACCCCCTCAGGTACCGCCATCGGAAGAGCAGGCCCTGGGTCGACTGACAGCCTTGCTGCTCCAGCGGTACCCGCGCCTCACCTCCCAGCTCTTCATTGACATGTCACCACTCATCCCCTTCTTGGCTGTTTCTGACCTGATGCGCTTCCCACCGTCCCTGTTGGCCAATGACAGTGTGTAAGGAAGCTGCACCGCTTCTCCTGATCCTGGCAGGGTCAAACCAACCCCACCCACTTAGTGTAGCCCCATCTGGAGTTGCGCTTAATTAAAATTAGGGAGTATCTCCTTCCTGTCCATGACAGCAGTGCTGTAGCAAGCCAGGGGACAACAGTTTGGAACAGGGCCAATGACCCATTAAGAATCATTACTCTCCCCAGCCTGGCTGCCATCCGGGATTACAGTCCAGGAATGAGGCCTGAGCAGAAGGAGGCTCTGGCAAGGCGACTGCTTGCCCCAGAGCTGTTTGGGGAAGTGCCTGCCTGGCCTCAAGAGCTGCTGTGGGCAGTGTTCCCCCTGCTCCCCCATCTCCCACTGGAGAACTTTTTGCAGCTCAGCCCTCACCAGGTATGAGAATCGTTCTCTGGGACTAGCCCACTTTCTGCTCGGTGGATTGGGAGTCAGTGGTATATCTCCTTGTGAGCCCCTCACAAGTGTCTCACAGTGACCCCAACACAACCCCAATAGATCCAGGCCCTGGAGGATAGCTGGCCAGCGGCAGGTCTTGGTCCAGGGCATGCCCGGCATGTATTACGCAGCCTGGTGAACCAAAGTGTCCAGGATGGAGAAGAGCAGGTGCGCAGGTAAGTGGTTATAAGACCAAGACCACAGTGGGAAAGAAACAGGTACAGATGCTGCAGTGGTTGGGGTCCAAGAAAGGAAGAGGCAAGAGGGAGGTTCCAGGTAGTGTAGGGCTCTAGAAGTGAGACCAATCCATGTTACCTAGTCAGTGGTCAGAGTGCCTACTCCATGCAGCTACACGGTCCCTGCCTCAGTACCAGCTTCAGTTTTGTGCCCTCTGCAGGCTGGGGCCCCTTGCCTGTTTCCTAAGCCCTGAGGAGCTGCAGAGCCTGGTGCCCTTGAATGATCCAATGGGCCCAGTGGAACAGGGCCTGCTGGAATGTGCAGCCAATGGGACTCTCAGCCCACAAGGACGGGTAAGCCCCTTAGCTTACGCTTATAAGACACCAGGCTTTTCCTGGGTCTGTGTGGATGAGTTGACCAATAATCTTAACCAAGACTAGCAGAGTGGTGCCAGCCATCCCTCCAAGTCTGTCAGCTCCATTTTTTTAAGCTTTATTTACGCATACAGAACTGGGGTACAGTCCAGAGGTGCAGGGGTGGTGAGAGGATTCACCAGAGACAGAGTGGGGAGCAGAACAGACTGAATGACGAAAAACACTGCTGAGGGGAGCAGTGGGTGGGTCAGGAGAGGTCTGCCGTGCCATGTGGTCACCTCCAGGGCTGGGGATCGATCTAGCACTGAAGCAGCTGAACCTCACTTGCAGTGATGTGCTGTGCTTTAACCCGTTGCGCCACCAGGGAGAACCCTCCACTCTCTATTTTATGCTCATTCTTATCTGTTATCACCTTTTCCTGACCCTCTCCCAGACATACACTTGACATCTTTAATTCTGTGCTAGGCTTTATTCTTTACCATAGGCAAGGCCCTGGGTAGTCCTGTTGAGAGCCTGCAGGAGAGATTTAAGATTATCTGTCTTTTCTCTCCAGTCTCAAACCTTTTTTGGTTACAGGTGGCATATGAACTTCTGGGTGTTTTGCGCTCATCTGGAGGAGCTGTGCTGAGCCCCCGGGAGCTCAGGGTCTGGGCCCCTCTTTTCCCACAGCTCGGCCTTCGTTTCCTGCAGGAGCTATCTGAGTCCCAGCTTAGAGCCATGCTTCCTGCCCTGCAGGGAACCAGTGTCACACCTGCCCAGGTGAGCCTATCTTATTCCCAGGCATTTCACCTTTTATACCCTGGGGTCCCAGTCAAAAGAGTTACATTCAGGGACACCATCTGCCTACTGAAGTCTCCTTTCCCTTTGTCCCAAGGATTCCCTCATTTCCCTTCTTCAGATCAAGAAGGGTCCTGAGCCCCACTGGTCACTGGGGGTGTTAGGCACCTGGAAGCTTTGGAGGACAGGCCCTAACGACTGTTTAAGGTCTCATCTGGCTGCTAGGACCTGAGAGCTGTTGCCTTTTGTTCTATTGTTCCTTAGGCTGTCCTACTGCTTGGACGACTCCTCCCCAGGCGTGACGTAAGTAGCAGCAACTTCTTATCATCACCCTGTAATCTGCACCCCTCCTTTTCTCTCTCCCCCATAGCTGCTGCTTGCTTCCTTCCTCTCAACTCCCCTTTTGCTGCACTGTGATTATTACCTCCCATCACCTAGCTCTCTTCTTCAGGCCTCTTGTTTCTCTTGCTTTCTAGCTGTCCCTGGAGGAACTCTGCTCCTTGCATCCTCTGCTGCCAGGTCTCAGCTCCCAGACACTGCAGGCCATCCCCAGGAGAGTTCTGATTGGAGCCTGTTCCTGCCTGGCTCCTGAACTGTCACGCCTCTCAGCCTGCCAGACGGCGGCGCTGCTGCAAGCCTTTCGGGTATGAGGAAGGGTGAGCCAGTCAGGGACGTGGGCTCTGGCTGGAAAGAAGGCACCTTCCTTGAAGCCAAGGAAAGCCTCCATACCTTTCCATTTCCTTACATGCTCCTAATAGCACATCACACATACACTGCCAATTCTCATGCAGGTGAAAGATGGAGTTAAAAATACAGGTACAACAGGTGCCAGTGCAGCTGTGTGTATCCCTGGTCAGGTATGTGTGGAATTTCCCAGCTAAGTTTCTCTGTGTGTCCCTGGGCAGTTATATATGGGCATGCTACTGCACATAAACCCCTCCCCACCTCCCTCCAGTGGCCTTTAGGTTAGTTATGTGCCCACCAAGGCATTAGCAGCTCTCTCCAGTGTCAGATGCAGGACAGCATGACCCACTCAGTCCCGGACATCAAAGCCAGATGGGAATGAGAAATCTTCCAGACCAAATATCCCTATTTCAGATAAAAAGACCAAGACCCAGAGAGGCTGTGGGGTTTTAGTTCATCAGGTTCCTAAACTGCCTGACAGAGTCAAACAGCACATGCTGTACCACCCCTGTCAAGTTTTGCTCCCTGCCTGCCCTCATGGTTCCCCTTCTCTGAAGCCTGAGTTCTAACCCTGTCACCTATTGCTACACTGCTACGCTCATCCCCACTGGCAGCCCATGCCCACCACCTGGCCAGACTGCCTGCTTCCCCTGCTCCCATTAAAGCTGCTACAACTGGACTCTGCAGCTCTTCTCGCTGACCGAAGGCGCTACCGGGAGCTACCATGGTCTGAGCAGCAAGTAATTCTCCCCATTTTGCCTCAGAAATCCCCTTTCCCAAACTCTTTCACCTCCTTTACCCATCCCTCCTAGGTCAGGTACTTTGTCCTAATCTCTGTGACTTGATTTGCTTTTTCCCTCCTCCCTGCTTCTCCACATCTTGTCCAACTGCCCTCTCTCCCTTACTCTCTTTTGAGTATTTGGGAAATTAGGATGCTGGTAGGCCCATGGTCAGAGGCAGGACTGGGCCCAGGGAATTTTAGGTTCTAGGGCAATAGGTTCTGCTGGGAAGTGGCTCCTCTTTCTTTCTCTTGTAGGCACAATTTCTCTGGAAGAAGATGCAAGTACCCACCAACCTGACCTTGAGGAATCTGCGGTGAGTTTAAGTAATTCTTCTACTATTTTTTTAGTATTTTCCATGTGCCAGACACAATATGACATGTAATGGAAAGTATGAGATAGATGACACGTAGCCCCAGACTGGAAATTCTCCTGGCTCCTCCTACCCTCAGCCCTCTGTCCTTCCATGTTGTCTGTCCTGATTGTATCTAAGGAATTTAGAAGACCTCAGTTCAGCTCCCATTTCTGTTACCTATTTTTAGTCTTGGGCAAGCCATTTCACTCTCTAGCTTTGGTTTTTCCTTCTGGAGGGTAAGAGTTAAAATGGAACCTGCTTTGTAGGTAGTTGTTGTGAAGATTAAATGAGACAAGCATAGGAGGTAGTTAACACTATGCCTAACCAGCATAAACTCCCAATAGAGCTTTGCTTTTTTTAGTTTAATCCAAGGGTACTTTAGAACTACTAGCCAATCAGAAACAGGTAAAAGAATCTTTTCACCCACACCCACAATAAAAGAACTATGCGCTTTATAACCTAAAGACATGACAGTAATCTTAGCTGACCACATTTCTAGTAGAATGATTTTGGGAATTTCACCTGACCTCTTTAAATCTTTATATTTTACTCTAATAAATAGTAATGATGTTGTGAGGTAGCCAGTGAGAATATCTATAGAAAAGCAGTTCTTAAACTATAAATTACCATATGTGAACATCTGTACTTGTGTTAAGAGTACTGATATGAAGGAACAGACAGGCTGTGACATGTGTTAAGTGTCTACCCACCCACATACCCCCAGGGCTCTGGGAACCCTGGCAGGGGGCATGTCCTGTGAGTTTCTGCAGCAGATCAACTTGATGGCAGATTTCCTTGAAGTGGTGCTCATGATCTATCAACTGCCTACTACGGTTCGAAGAAGCCTGGTGAGTGGGGTTGCTTAAGCATTAGTGGAAGCAGGGAGGCAGGGATCCTGAGTATAGACTCAGCCTCAGCGCTCAGCTCTGTTCTCACCCTGCCTCCCCTGTGCAACAGAGGGCCTGTATCTGGGCAGAGCTACAGCGGAGGATGACAATGCCAGAGCCAGAGCCAGTAACCCTGGGGCCAGAACTGAGTGGGCTAGACACCAGGCTACTTCTGGACTTACCGTAAGTGCAACAACTGGAATTACTAGGTCCTCAGAAAGCTCAACCTGGAGCAAATCTGCCCTTAAGAAATGCCCTGGAGGTGGTGATTTTCCATCTGGTGATTCCTTGACATAAATTATAGCCAAAAGCACAAGATTCTATTTAAAGTTGCTCAATGAATTGACTGACTTGCAGATATGGCCCCAGCAGGAAATTCTGTTTTGTAGCCTGCCAAGCAATCTGAATGTATCCCAGCCCGTATTAATAGATTAGAACATTTAAATTAACAGAGGTGGTGGTTCAAGTCTGCCCCCAGAGGGTTATAACCTGCTTAGGAAACTGTGCTCTCTGTTTAGAGGAGTAAAGAGAAAAATTTATGAAAGTACAATAAATACCTGAGGGGCTATTGCATACAAAACAGTTTGGTATGTTTCTAAAAGGCCCCGTTGGGCATGAATGAAGAAATGAGTGAATTAGTATGTCACTCACATACTTCCCTATTGCCAACTGAACTATAAGTCAGAGTCTGAAAAGGCTGGTGTTTATCTTCTTGGGGTTGAAGGATG